ACCATCTTTAACCTACAGTATTAGGCGTGCTACCCAAGAGAGGATTTCCTTGGATTCTACCTCTTTATAAATACCTAGCAATTAATTCTCCTTTTTATTTGGAAATATATATAATGATCAAAATTCAAAAGACATTCAGATACCAATAACTTTTCCTCCTACTTCTGCACCCTTAGCCTCCCATTTCTTAAGAGACCACTAACATTTCATATCTCCAGTATATCGTGCATCTATAATCCATAGATAAGCATAGTATATGTTTGTGTATATACTATTCATATATATGTCTCCAGACATTGGAAGGGAATATAGAGAAGCACATTATTTGTACTTTGCAAGGTAATTTTGTAATAATTTATCCTAAAATAAACCCATTTTTCCTCTTAGCTACATAATTTATTTCTTTTCTCCTTATTTGGCTTCTAATTTCTCCAATGAATGGTCCCCAGTAATAGCTATTTCTATGTATCCAACCAAAAACAAATTTCCTTGGTGGAAATATCAACTGTCTTGCAATTGGGCTTAGTTCTAGACCAGTTGTAATGGATGTTGTTATCACAAATAAAATGTGTCTCAAAACTCACACGTTGTGCTTATATCCTTTAAAAATATTCACAGCTGACAACTCTGACTCATGCTCGACATTTGTAGACACCTGAAAATTTATTTTTCTTTGAGTGATTCTAATGCGTTAGTTTTGATCTATTGTGATCTTTTAATATTAGCACTTAAGGGGAAACTTACTTCAAGTCTGTTGAGTAATTAAAGGAGATCCAGAATTAGGAGGATAGCGATTCCTATGTGAAGAAGGCAACTATCCAGTGGATAGTTCAGATAATTTCACAATTTGTACCGAGGTAATTTATAATAAGCCAATTGTTTTCTGCCATTCCTAATAAAATTATAATCTCAGCATGACCATGGCCTTACTCTTTCAGGAATTTGAGGGTTTATTTTCTGCACTCGAGGCTAATGTGGCAAGTGCTCATTCTGTTCCTCTCTGTTAGGGTCCACAGTTATTTCAAGTGGTCATTCTGCTGCTACATTATCTTTAATTGAGAAAAACATCCTTTCCATATGTCCCTGCTGAACAGCATACTGAAACATCCTACAGGTGTTGGGATTCACATTTGAACTTAAGTTCCACTTAGCCACAGAAAAGAGAATTTCCAAGGGGCAAAACATGAAAACCGCTGGTTTCATTGAAGTGGGCCTGGTTCTACTTATACTTTTATGAAACAACTCTAAGCTTCTAAATCACTGGAAATTTCAGGAAAGCATACAAATGCAGGTTTTAATGTATTATACTTTCAAACCAATGTCTCTAGATGTAGAAAAATGTACTTTGCATTTCATATATGAAGAAGTGGAAAGAACAGTATTTGTTGGTTTTATTTGTTCCAGATTCTATTCCAAAAATATGCTAAGGTAAAATATATTTTTTCATGTTGGAATGAAATTCAGGATTAACTCTAAGCTAATATTATTTACATATGCGTATGTTATGTCAAAAAGAAAGAAACTGAGTAAATATATTTTGTCCAGGTTTGAGTATTTCATGATCATGGTATCTCTGCGGCCAGGTAAATATTTGAGTATTACATTAAAAGTTTAATGTTTAAAGTGACACTCTCAAAAACCTGATGGAATTCAATAATAGCAAGAAAATAATACCTGATAGAATGATAGAATAACAGGGTGATAAATCAAGTGAAATGAAACAAATCCCTCAAATAAAGAAGAGGGTCCTTTGTTTTTATGACATCAACATATACCACGCTTTTAGAATCAGGTAATTGTGAATAGCTTGTGTTTTTATCTGAACTGAGGAATTTCAAAATGTATGTTTTGACAAGTTCTCTATAGATCTTCTAAATGCAATTCAATTAGTAACCCTGATTCATGACTTTGTTTATACACTTGTGCTTTTGTACATCAAAAAAGTTATTTTTTCTATAGTTTCTAAGAATGACTCTCAATTTTAGAGCCTTAGTCTGAATGATTTCTGATGTTTTTTGAGCATACACCCATTTTGCTTTTTGTATATGTGCTCATTATGACATTTTTCAGATACATGAAATAGACATGCAATATTTTATCAACTTGAAAGTATGGGAAAAATTCCTTCCAATAAGAAAAATTATGCACATGCATTTGGTTTTCTCTTCTCAATGTATAGCAGCAAGAAAGAGAAAAATATGGTAATATTGAATAACGTTCCTAGGATAAAAACACTACTTCAACAGCCCATAAGTGACTCTTGCTTTTATTCTTATGTTGAAATTCTGCTGTCTTCTTATTAACTAGTGTTATTGTTATTAATCACTATGATTAATCAGCCTCATTATCCTGTTTACTATTACTTTAGGTATTTTGCCTTTGGGCATTTACAGGGAAAATATCACTATTCTAGTGCAACTGCATGTCTTAATTACTACTCCTTTCTACTTCCTGTGTAAAATATCTGATTGAGACATTGCCAAATTACTATAAGTGCTGTAGTGTCTTTCAAAACCTCCTTAATATTTCAATTTCTGTAAAATTTCTGATTTTTCTTTCTTTCTCTTCAGTTCAGCTAACATTATCTTTGCTTCCCATTGTGATGCCCTCCAAACTTCCCACCCTCAACTTCTTTAATTACTAACTGAAAGCACTGATTTTAATATTTAATCTGTACTCTTCTCTTTTTCTGGGTACTTATTTCCTCATTCTGGAGAAAAAGATGACCCTTTTCTTTATACTACCAATATTTCATGTGTGTGTATTAAATGAAGCGCCTCCATGTTCTCTTAAATACAGTTAAGGATGGATAGATAAAATATAAATGTGCAAAAGGAGCACAAAAGACATATAAAGTTTTATAGGAACACAAAATAGGGAAATTATTTTCCTCTAAAATAATAAGGAATCATTTATATTTAAAAAATCAAGCTCCACAGAATGAAAAATGTTTTGAGTAGAGTCAGGTAATTGATTTGATATAAATAGTTTATATAAATAAAATTTATGAAGTAGAGAATTGAAGGGAAAAGACAAAATTCAGTGAAGTTCATTATTTTTAGAAATTTAAGCTATGTCCACCTCATTTTTTTGTTTTGTACATAATTAAAATATCCTGTATGTAGTATATACACCACAAAAATACCATGCCTTGCTAAATCTGACCTCTTCATTCATTTATACTTTACTACCATAATAAACATTATTTTCAAAGGGTGATAGCCCAGAAAAATTAGGGAGGAAACCCTTGCAGGCTGATTCTTCATGGTCACTTAAATTAGCAATGGCCTCATGGGTATTTGTTTTATTATGCTTTGCAAATTATTGCACACTTGAAAAATCGTTTCTTGAGAGAAATGAGTAATAACTACTATCAAATAAAGATAGTTCATAAACGTGAGCAATTTTTAATCTCTGGATCTTCTCTATGAAATCTTTCATGAAATTCTTAATGAGGAATTATCTCTCCATTTCTTAGAATCCAGTATTATTTCATACATGTAGTGTTTTTCTATATAATATTTTATTTCTGCTGATACCTGATTATTTCCATTTAATATTGTAAGTATTCATGTACCATCTCTTTGCCACTGAAATTTTTGATGGGAGCACATGAACTTGTTTTGTCTTTCAACTTTCTAAAGCACTCAACAGTATTTTGCACATAACCCATACACACAAGTTGCAGATTAAATGTGTGAATAAGCAATCCTTTTGAAAGCTTCCTCTAGATGTGTTAGTCATGGGATTTTATTTCAAATATTGATTTCCAAAGGAACAAACATAAAATTATAGAAAATGTGGTGAAATGATGGCAGATTTTTGGGGGACATTGAACTCAGTTCAATTATCTGAGAAGTACTGTAAAACTCATTAAAACAATTGTTTTACCAAAATTCTGACATATTTCTTTATTAAATGTGTCCATAGATGAGTATATTCAGAGGTGTATCAATTTAAGAAATGAATTTAAAGAATCATTTTTATACCTACATTGTCCAATAATAAAATTAATCAAAACTCAAGGAAAGCCAAGCAGTTAAACTGTCAATAAGTAAAACCAAAACATTACATAAATTGTTGCATACCTAGAATGTTATAGATTTCTCATTTTTTACAATAATGCAATCACTTCACAAGACATTATGTTAAATTCAGTTATAAGTTAAAAATGCAATTGCCTTTTAAAATAGGTATTTAAAATGAAAGCATAAAATAATCAAATTCATTAATATTTGATTCTTATAATAGGTTTTCTCATTCAAATAAACTCATACAAATAAACTCAAAGGATTAAACAATTTCTTCACACTATTAATTACATTGATGTTAATCAAAATAAAATTTTTTCCATTTGCTGCTCTTTGCACATAAGAATTGCACATGTTTTACATGTGCACTTTACCATTTTATAATCTTCTTTGCTAATTTCACTTAAATAATTTCAAATGAATAATGTAAACATTTAAGTAAATGAAAATCATACATTGTTCATGCACAAATAAGAGCCTAAAACTTGTAAAACTTAAGAGGCTTGAATGGGTTTTAAATAGCATGTTTTATATTGAGATTTGAACTTCTGTTTATGTAGCTACTTAAAATGAAAATCAAATGTCTTGGTGAAAACACAGAATCTATCATTAGGTACTGGTAGATATTCATGTCAGCCAAGCCCATCATTCGTTCTTGTATGCACTTCTAGCTGCACTGCCACTTTAAAAACCTAGGGGCTGTGGCAATGATCTCTGCCACTAGTGTTATTTGTGGTACAGAGTACGAGCAAGAAAAGTTTTTGGACCTGATAAATGATAGGTAAAACTTAAGATATCTGAAATAGTGTTTCATTCAAAAGAACGCCAAAGTAAAATACATATCATACTTGTTGCTTCCGTTTTGCAAGAAAAAAAACTCCAAAAATGTCCTAAAACCTATTTTCAGAGTAATCTATTCAAACACATAGGTTTCTTAAAGGCTTTAACATCAGTTTAAGTGACATTTACCTTTAAAATTTGGCCTAATTCTTGCATCATATCCTGATGTCCTTCCCATTAATTTGTCCAAGAAATCTGAAGGGGACAGGGTCTGCGAAGGCTGTTTCCCAGACCTGGTGTCATGGTCTTTGCAGAAAGCTGCCCTAAAAATCATTGACTCTTTTAGCAATCATTTCATTCTCAATCTCTTAGAAATAATACTCATAAAATATTTAAATCATGGCTTGATAAAAACATTCGTTAGGAAGATGAAAAATACAAACTCTTTGATCAACTTCTGAACTTGTATATGATCTAAACTTTAAATGACAAAACGTATACATCCTGAGTCATATCTCTCATGTTCTGAAACATTAAACATGTTTAAGATCAGACAATACCTGTAAATTTGGATTATAGATTTTAAGGACATATAGTTGCAGCTTCTTATTTTAAGGATTGTCAAAAGAAATGATGAACACGTCTTAAACTTTATGTGGTGACAAAATGATTTCCCCAGGACATTAAAATTTTGTTCCAGCATAACTCACTAACTATAAGTCCTTAAACTTTTTCAGGAAATAGATAACAATATGAGCTGAACAAAGTAAACAGTATAGCTAATTAGCATATTGATTGTTCTCACCTGCTAGATTCTGTTCCATTTATCAGCTATTAGTATCTCTCAGTGTATTGTCTAAAATAGGATCTTCACTTAGAATTTTAACTTAATTTTAAAGTAGGTCAAGAATTAGCCTGTCTCGTCCTTTCATCATTTCATCAGTTATTTATATATAAACATTTAAATTGTTGACTCTCCAATAAAATATTAATAAAAATAGTTCTAATGTATTTTGTCTTTTCCATTACAAAAACACTAAAAGTTGACAAGGAAATTGCCCAGATTATCATATCCATTTTAAAAGTAATAAAACACTAATCAAAAGCATTTTGGTTTATAGAAAAATACAATATATAGTCATTAAACTGAATTCTTCAGTAAAAAATGTTTCACAAGCCTTGTCTCCAATAGCTTAACAAATAGTCTCGTTAATTCTGTCACTAAAAATACAGCCTTTCCGGATTTTCAAAGAAAGGGAATTAAATGTAAGTACAAAGATGATACAAACATTTGGTAAGAGTTACAAATTGATGCAGTCATCCAGAAATACTCACATTCCCACAAGGAGATTCATCTTATTAATCAAGTTTGTTTGATTATGATGGTGGTGGTGGTGATGAGGATGAGGATGAGGATGAGGATGAGGATGATGAAGATTCAAATAAAACCCAGCCCAGAATCTTTCTTAATCATAGTAGGAAGTGTGAATCTGAAAGGAACATAGTGAGTTTGCCTGGTATTCGTAATATTATTTCTATTTGTTCCATTTCTCTTGACTCTGTGAAAAAATACCGTAAAATTTGGTGAAAAATTAATGAGAGAGTTCTGTACTTTGTTGTAAGAGCATCTCTTCTCTCTATTCTGTTTTAGACTCCTTGTCATTACTAGGGTATTTCACTTTCTAGTACGTCAAGGTATTAATTGATTTGGCAATTTGTAAATTATGTAGAAATGGAATCGTGCAAATAATTATTTCTCACTGTTTTAACTCTTTACACTTCTTTTGTCATGCAGCCATAAATACAAAATGTCATATTATTTAAATGTTGGTAAGTAACCAATTTCCCAATAGACTAAACAGCAGAAATTGATAAAAACACATTTTTGAAGTTCCAAGAAAATTCCCGAATTTCAGTTCTCATAATATGCTCCTTCTTAGTTGATGAATATAATAGAAGTCCTGAGTTGGCTGAAAATTAGGGTTTTCGTATATTTTATGTAAGATGAGCTTATTCTGGACAAATTAATACAACTGTTTCCACCATGTGAAAAACATGACATTCAATAATATCTTTAAGTGATTTCCAGAAAAATTTGAGAGCAAAAATAGCAATCTTATATAGAAAGGTGAAGAGCATGCAACTCGTCGACTACCTTAATATCACATTGGCTCTGAAAATATGTGTTGAAATACATAGAGTTCAGATATGCAACAGAAAACTTGCTTTTGTAAAAATTTATTACCCTCCCACTGTAATTAAGCTTTTTAAACGAACAAAAGAAATTTAACTGTTCCTTAAAAAATTAAGATAATATGACCCAGGGCACAGAAAAGACATATAATTGCATGACACTCTCACTCTCAACCAGTTTTCATGTGGAAAATATCAGCATGCAAAGTCATTTTACCTACCTGAAGTGGTTTGTCTCTAAGAAAAATGCAAACAAGACTGTCAAAATGTTCACTAGCTGCCGGTTCATTCCTGGTTCTGTGATGCTTGTGGAAAATATCCCGAAATGATTCCAAAAAGAAGCTAGACAAAGTATCTATTTATTGTCCAGATTCAAAATCTGACAGGAATCTAGTTTCCTTGAAAATCAAAAAGAAATTTGGGGTTGTACAGTTTGCTGAGAAAAAACAAAAAGTGCCAATGCTGGGCATCATGGTCAGGTCAAGCTGAGGTTCGGGACCATCAGTTAGCCCAGGCAAGACAAAGCCTCAGAACTGATGAATTCCCCAGCTGTTTCTCCTGGATAATAAAAAAAAAATGCTGCTACCTTAATCGAATCACCATGCAAAGGGGGCTGGTGACAATGCCATGCTGGAAGTCGGGATGCTGTGGCTTTTGTTTTATATCCTTTCTGTTTAGAAAAGCCCCTTTCTCTGGAAAATGTTCTCTTTTTAAAAGAAGTTGCAAACGAGGGAAAAGAAATGACTCTGTGAGCTAGAGTGCTTTTGGGGAATAGGGGAAATTTGCTGAGATCCTGTGCTGGAATGAGGGCTACAGAAAGAGACGGAGACGTGATCTTACCCAGCCTATAAATTTCAGCACTCGGACAGCTCCTAGCTCTGAAGTGCGCATGTTTCCTTTTTCAGTAGCTTGGGGCGGGGGTCGGGGAGAGGCAATCAAGAAGGGGACGTGCCTGCCGTTCCCAGGCAAAGAGTGACTGGTCGCTTGAGAAGGGGGTGCGACAGTGTCAGGGGGAGAGCTGAGGTAGGGGAAGACGGAAAGGGTGAGAGCGGCTGTGGTCTGAGCTCCTGGAAATACTAGTGTGCCTGTGGCTGGGTGGGACGGGAGTTTGAAGCAGAAAGAACAGGGAAAAATGTTTAGGTTCGGGGATAGAAAATTGTGGAAAAAGAAAACAGGATTCAGAGTACTGAAATTGTAACAAGGGTGTGGGTAGTTCGCTCCTTGACAGTGAAAGCCAGAGGCAAAAGAGAAGTCTCGTGCTGAAAAGGAAGGGACATTTCCGAGGTGTTGAGAAGCTCATGTAGAGAAAAAGGTTCAAGAGGATCGATAATTTAACTTAGAAGCCTTTTTATGTTTTCCTCCCCTCTTAAGTGTTTTAGTCTGATTTTAGCTGCTTGTTCACAAAGGCTCTCTTTACCTCGCTAACAAGGAAAGTCCCTTCCTCTGAGCTTTCTTCTGTTGCTTAAATCCTTTGGGTATTCTCAAGTCACAGATGTGCAGAGAAGGGGACAACAGGCAGTAGGCCAGTAGGGGGCAGTAGCAATCTTTTTCCTGCCCTGGTTAAAGGTTAGAACAGGGCTCCATGTTAGAAATGGAGCAAGGAAAAGTAACACTGGGAGTGTAGTTTCATCTGCCCCTCTCAGATTCTAATCACCACAGAGGGCTGTGAAATAAAATGTAAAACTTCTCAATTGGCTAAAGAGACTGAAAATAGTGGATGTTTATATATCCAGTACAAAACCACAGTAAGTAACTCTGCTATTTCAAATTTAATTTACAAATATTAATGAAAAGAGGAAGGAGACATAGCTCAATGCACACACTGACAGATTTTGGGAAAACGGAGTAAAAATTGCAGACACTCCAATGGACTTCATTTTAACAGAAAATAATATCATTAGTTTTTAAGTCCATAAGTGAATAACTTGTCCTTGGATGAGCTTAAATTTTGCAGCAAAGTAACAAAAAGTTCCACAGATTATGAGGAAAAAAATGACACTATTTTAATGTTAATGTAAGTCACCTAAATGCCCTGTTTTTAAACACAAATTCTATTACTGAATTGGGGTCTAAAATTTTTCTCACAAGTTGTTAGCTAAAGTTGATGGTACTTGTCCACAGATCACACGAAGAGTAGCAAGGATCTATATGCCTTTCTACCAGATTTCTATGCCATCGAGACAATGAGAATATTGGTACCTCTTTTTAGATAATTTAGCAGTGCCTAAGCTTTCTGCTTACATAAAAATCAATTCTCTGGATGCATTTCTTAATTCTCAAAGCCTAGGAAAAGTTATTTAATTTAAAAGAAAATCACTGTGTTGTAGTGTGAGACATTCCTGGACTGTGGCTTCAAGTCTGCGCACTTCCATATTCATCCACATGGGAACCCTAGATTTTATTTTATCCATGCAGTCCTGACCCAAAAAATGAAATCAATTTCTGGAAATATCTTTTTTCAGTTGGTGCTGCATGGGAAAATCATTTGAGATTTTGGTACTCAAGACTCTTCCCAAAATGTAGATGTAAAAGTAGAAAAAGAAGATTTATCTCAGATTTAAGTTTGTAATGATACTTAAATCATGCACTCTTGCAAGCATTTCTTTCAACAATAGAAATATGTTATTATTAAACAGCAACAGAATGAGTAGGTAGATTGTGACAAAAGTCAGTAGAATGAAATGATATCATAGTATTTTTCCACTTTTTAAAATTTTATTTTAATGAGTAAAAGTATATAGCAGATACAAAGACAAAAATAGAGCAACAAGCAGCTGTACAAATGGTACTTTGCATACCATCATAGTATTTTAGAGTTCAAGGGACTTTAGAGAGTAGCTAATCTAACTTCCTTGTTTTATTTCTCATCTCTCCTCAGTTTGGATTCCAGCCCTGTGAAGCCACAGAAACAACTGTCATTAAAGTCTTCCAATGACCTCCAAGTAACTGAAGTCAAAGGATGCTTGTCAGTTCTCGTCTTACTTGCCATTTTCATGGTACATAGCATCACTGGCTTCTTTCTTCTTGAAGTATTTTCCTCTTGAGGCACAGCGAACTCCCAGTTTGCCTTCTGTTGTATCTCCTTGGCAGCCATATACTCCTGTATCTTGTCTATTAAAGTTGAATTTCCTAAAGACTATCTTCTAAGACCTACCTTCACACACTGTACTCTCTTAGGTAATATTATGTTAATATAACTTTCCTTAATTGTTCAGATGACACACAAATGTGTACTTGCATGTCTATCCAGACATATTCATCCATCTGCTTCCTAAATAATTCCTATTGAATGACTCAAAATCTCCTCAAGTCGTCATGCCAAAACCACATTTTGTCCACTCCTCCAAATCATGATCCTATTCTTTGGTAACTATTTAACTGTCACCAAACAATGGCAAAGCATTATTTCTGAAATTCCCTCTCTCCCTCATTTACCATACCCAACTTTCACCCAGCCCTCTTCATGTTGTCTCCTCAATATTTCTCAAGTTTGGACTTAATCTCATCTCAACTTCCATGTCCCCAGGTGAGATATCTTTCTGTCTTATCTGTAGTCCCACAACAATCACCTTATTATTCTACCTGTACCAACAGCTGACCCTCTTCCACTTTGTTCTATACACTCCAACCACAATGATCATTCAACATAAGAACTTGATTATGTCAAAGTCCCTGGTAAATATAGCTATCTATTTATTTCTGGGTAGAAAAAGAAATATTTAACACAACCTAAAAGTCACAAATGGTCTGGACTCTGTCTAAATTGTCCCTCCTTTTATATCTTTTTCACCTCATTCCTTCCCCTCTAAACACATTGACATTTTTAAAGTCTCTTAAACTCCCTATATTATTTAATCCAATTGAATGCTCATGCTTCCCATTTTATTCTTGTTAGCACTAGCTACATTTTCAACTCTCTGCTCAAGAATCATTTCCTGAAGAAGGACTTCTCTGACTTGCATGATTTTGGCGACTCTCCCTAGTACAGTCTCTTAGTACTCTGCAACTCTGATGCATAAAGTGCGTCATCATTTCATGTATACGTGTGTATGATTATTTACTTAGATAATGAGATTTTTAGGAAATAGGAATAAGAGATCATTCCATAAACCATTGAATCCCCATATATTCAGTGATGATGACAGTAATCATAAAGTATTAGTGGTAACTAGGATAAAATCCTAGACATATCTAGAAGTGATACTTAAACAAAATAACATATATAAACGTGCATATAAATATGTAGAGTTCACAAATACTTTTGTCAAAATTTACTTAATAGGAAATGAAAAAGTTAAGGCCTTATTTGAAAGGAAGTTAAGTTTCATAGCTCAGCACTCCACAGCATGAAATGAAAACTGAAACAGAAGATTATGAACCTGATGTACCTACTTCAAGCTCTACCTCTAACAAACATTTTTATGTGACCTTGCATAACTCCTTTCATCATCAGAGCCTCATTCTCATAACACGTAAGACGCAAAATATGTCTATGTAGAATACTCCTAAACATACCATAAATCATAGCTAAATAGTGTTTTAGGCTTTAATCTCAATTCTTGGCATTTACTTACTCTTAAACTTTATGTTTTAACTTTGTTCTTTTGTCAATTCCACTTTCAAGGACAGTAAATCTCAGGAGCTTTGGAAATGTCTTATTTGCGATGCAATGAAATCCTGAAGTAATCCTCCTCTGCTTCTACCTCACCAAATTACAACTAGTTGAGATTTGGGGCACCCTCATTTTGTACTTTTCTTAACCTAAAAATGAGAAAATTTTGTCTCCTCTTATGATACAAAGATCAACACAATATTTGATTTCTAAGAAGTTATAACATTTAAAAATTTCAATAAATATAAACAAACATTTATAATGAACATCAGTATCATCTAGTAATAAATAAGCCTTAAGAACTTCTAGTGTCTACATATTACTTCTCTGTCTTTGAAATATCTACACTTTGTGGGAGAAAATAATTCATATTCATATTTTTCCAATTAAGAATCTAAAGTTCATGTAAATTGATCAATTCTTTCCTAGTCTACATGATTAAATGGCAGTCATACTTTTTGTATGGACTCCCAAAGTGAACAAAAGTCTTTTTCATCATATATAATTGATGGTATTTTTCAAATCACTAGAAGACTAACATACCCATGATAATTTTTAATAGCTGTGTTCTGTTTCTATTTCATTGCAGTAAATGACATTTTATTAAGATAAATAAAATCACTATATTAAAATACAAACATACAATTATGTGTACACAAAAACATGGTGAATGGAAAACCCACAATAAAAATCTCAAAGTAGGGGGAACTACCTGCTCGGGCCCCCCCTCCCCATCCCTCTCTTGGACAGGAGCTTTCTTTCTCTCAATAAATATATTCTACTCATAAAAAAAGAAAAAAAATCTCAAAGTCAGGAGCCAGGGAGATGGCTCAGTGGAATATGCGCTTCCCTGGCAAGCGCAAGGGCTTGAGTTCAATCCCTGGTTCCGAAAAAAAAAAAACAAAACTCAAAGTCAATTTCTTCAAGGAGAGAACAGAAAGGTGTCCAATATATAAATTTCTTGAATCAGAACTCCCAGAAAACTCTTATGAATCTGAATATATATATAT